GCTTGGGTCAGGTGGTCCTGTACAATCGATGTCTCATGTCAACTTATCACCTTTTTAAAAAAGGATTTATTTGTTTGTTTGTTTATTTATTTATTTATCTATTATGCATCATACAGTATCCTGCCTACATGTATGCATACAGGCCAGAATAGGGCACCAGGTCTCATTATAGACAGTTGTGAGCCACTATGCAGTTTCTGGGAATTGAATTCTGGACCTCTGGAAGAGGAGTAGCCAGTGCTCTAAACCTCTAAGCCATTTCTCCAGCCTCTAATAAGCTTCTTAAGAACAGCAACTTGTATACTACTTCCAGAAGGGAAATTGAAGAAAATGGATGACTTTTATGAAGTCAGCAGAAACTATCACGCAATGGGACAAATTCATGATCTGAAGCAACCCCACCACAAAGGCGCTAGCCCTAGACCATTACCAGCTCTCCAAAGCATATTTCTGGCTTTAGGGAAGGAGCTGTTCTATTGTCAACACATCAGACCCTTAGGGAAAGTTCCCAAGGCCTATGTCCTAGGTTTTAACTACCTTCCCAAGAATTTTCCTCCTCCCTGCCTGAGGGCATAAAGGAAAGCCTTGCTTCATCAGGCAACTCTGTGACATAATAGTGTTTTCCATTTATTTCTTTCCTTCGTTTATTATTTATTTATTTATTTTTGCTTTTTTGAGACAGGGTTTCTCCATGTAGTTTCTGGTGCCTGTCCTGAATCTCGTTCTGTAGACCAGGGTGGCCTTGAAATCAAAGAGATCCATAGGCTCTGCCTCTTGAGTGCTGTGATTAAAGACATGCACCACCACCACCCAGCTCTACATTTATTTTTTTCTCTTTCTTTTTCTTTTTTGGTTTTTCAAGAGAGGGTTCCAATGTGTTGCTTTGGAGCCTCTCCTGGAACTCACTCTCTAGATCAGGCTGTCCTCAAACACACAGAGATCTGCTAGCCTCTGCCTCTTAAGTGAATTCTGGGATTAAAGGCATGTACCACCACCACCAGCACCACCACCACCAGCACCACTACCACCACAAACCTTGTGTTTTACTTTTCAAACGTTTGTCCCTTGGTATCATATTGCCCATCTGGCAGAACTATGCCTTTCTAGAAGAATTTTTTTTTTCAAAACAGGGTTTCTCAGGGTAGTTTTACACCTTTCCTGGAACTCACTCTGTAGCCCAGGCTGGACTTGAACTCAAAGAGATCCACCTGCCTCTGTCTCCTGAGTGCTGGGATTAAAGGTGTGTGCCACCACCGCTGCTGCTGCTGCTGCCGCCACTGCTGCCGCTGAAACCGCCGCCACCACCAACACCCAGAACTATGACTTTCTAAAGAAGAAATTGCAACTTTATGGCATCCCAGGTCTTAAGGTTGGTGAGAACCTGTAATGCCTCAATGAGCAATTTATTAGATATTCTTTGATAATTGGTTAGGCCTAGTGGATTGTTGTAAATGAGCAGTGTCTCCTTTGTAATGCTTTGGAGCCAAGTGTCTGGACAATCCTGGTGAAAATACCTACTGTTCTAATCTCTAACAGGCCTGGAGAATATAGTTATTTTATATTTTTTAGGCAGTCCTCTCTCAGATAAATTCTATTTTGTGAGACTTACTATCTCCAAAGAATTAGTGAATCCTTTATATCACTAATTCTACTTTTTTAGATCACATCTTAGCAGCGTAATGCTACCCAACACATGAGAGGCCTTTTACAAGCTCCACAAAATTAACGACAAAGGATTTTAAACATGAAAGGTAAATGCAACGTGTTGAATCTCTAGAAGATACTGGAGAAAGTAGGCCTCTTTTAGTTTAAAAACGTGCTTTTTTGGAAGTGTCCCCAAACAACATGACCACACAGCTACATCACAGGCTTAGGGGCCCAGACATACCTTTTGTGACAGGCTTCCTAGCAAGCAACACCCAGAGTCAGGAAAAGAAATAAGCTTACAACACCCAGCGATCCACCCAAGGATGGGGAAGCATCTAACATCCCAAACATTCCAAAAATTTTGGGATAAGGTGGCCAAATATCCCTGAATCTAGCATACACCTATTTTTGTTTTTCAGATACCCTAGACAATTATCAGCCAGTCAGGGTCCTGAAAACTGGAAATTTCCTCACCCCAACCACTGCTATTATAAAAACCCAATCCCACTTGAGATCAGGGTTCTCTGCTCTCTCTGCTGTGTGGGACACACAGACCAAGCAGTGGAGCTTGAAAATAAAGGCTCTTTGCTTTCACTTATGTGATACAGCCTCCATAGTGGGTTTTTGGTGAACCCTGCAATCTGGGCATAACTCTTTCAAACAAAAAGAATGTTGAAGTTGATTACAAGTATCTTTCTACACACAGCTCCCTATCATTCTGTGAGCAGAATCTGCCCATAGAGCAAAGTTATTTAGAGGCCTTCCCTGGGACTAGGAAGTTTCATGGACCACATGGGACCTCACAGAACAGGGATTCTGGCTGCAGGTTCCCACCCATATCGGGGGAGGCCCCTCTACACTGTCTCCTGCACCTCGTGATCTGCCCCACCCCATCTGGGGCCAGCAGCCCCTCACTCAACATGTTGTGGTTTCCCAGCTTGTCCATGCTCTCGGATCAGCTTCCTGCAACAACACTCAAAGCACAGCACACAAAACCACTGACACCACCTCCTCTTCGAAGTCAAGCCTGAAGCTAGCTGCTAGAAGGACCCTGCAACACTTCTGACTGGTAGGTAGCCTGGAGGGCCTGATTGACTAGTGAGTCCTGAGTGAAAAAAGGGCCTCCCATAGCATTACACTATGCTTAGAAACAAACACAATGATTTTCCCACAGACAAAGACATTTTCTAAATCAGCAGATATATGCATTTCAATAGCACTTACCCCTGGCTCCAATACAAACCCTGCTATCTTATTGCACTCCATCTGCACTTTCCCTTCTTCCCCCTGGACACAATGTCACTAGGTAGTGTGCACAGCCCACTGGACTGTGTGGTGTGTGGTGATTCCCTGTCACACAGGTGGAAGGGTTTCCAGAATAGTAACAACTAAAAGAGATTTAAAGATAAAAAGGAGATGTTTGTAAAACAAATTGCTAAACTGTCGTATTAATAAAAATCCCACAGCCAGATATTGGGATTAAAATTTAAACATCATGAAAGCAGAACAAGCCACAGCGAACCTTACCTTGCCAACTCCTCGAATGATCCTGCTTCGATGAATCCTCACACTGAAAGCCTGTGAGTCCTCACCCCTGAGGGGCTCAGTTGAACTGCTTAAAAGCATCTAGTTCCTTGTCCTCATGCCGTATATAACTTTCTGCCACCTCTCATAACTTCCTGGGATTAAAGGTGTGTGTCCTCTCCAGGCAAAGACATGAGACCATAGGTATCAGGATTAAAGGTGTGTGCTGTCACGCCTGCCTCTGTTTGCAGTGTGGCCTTGAACTCACAAAGATCCAAATGAATTGTTACCTCCTGAGTGATAGGATTAAAGGTGTGTGTCCCAAAACTATCTGGCCTCTATGTCTAACTAGTAGATGGCTCTGTCCTCTGATCCCCAGATAAGTTTTATTTGCTAGAGAACAAATAAAGTATTTTCACAGATGTTTGCTCTGTGACTTCACATTGAGATCAGGGGAACTGAATATACTTTTTATCTAGTAGTCACAGGGAATTCAAACAACCAGAAATGAAAGCAGGAACCGGACCACAAACAAGAGAGTAGATCTTTCTCCCATCAGAAAGCTGAGTGATGGCTCCATTGCTTTAGGAGATTTAGTCCAAAAATTCAGAGTAAACTGTTAACAAATGCATAATAATAATAAAGATTAGTCTTCATGGAAAGTTGAATGTTTTAAGCATAGTTGAGCTAGGAAGGAATGTGTTTGCAAGCACTATTGTTAGCCAGGACATCTTCCTCCATGGGCAGGTAAAAACAAAACAAAACACTGCATTATTCAAGGTTCTCTGCATGAACAGGACTGGCAGAATGAACCTTCCATGTATGTAGAAAGTGGATTTTTTAGAATGTCTCACAAGCTATGGTAGAGGTAGTCCAACAATGGCTGCCTGCCATGGAAATATGAAGAGTGCAGTAGTTATTCATTCCATGAGGCAGGACATCTCAGCTGGTCTTCAGTATACACCAAAATTCTAAGGAAGTAGACTCTAATGCTAGTAAAGAATGAAGTTAGTATGCAGATCTTGGACAATCAGCAAAGAAAGAACTTCCTTCTTTAATATCCTTTATATATGTAGGTTGACACCAAGAGCTAATATCCAGATTAAAGGTGCATCTTATTCTTTGTTGTGAAAGGACCAAGCAGACATCATAACAAGCTACTCAGTTTTCTTTCAGAGATCAGACCTCAATTTCAATTTCTTGAGACTTAAGCAAGAAGATTCTGGGAGGGCTATGATTTATCCCTTTTTACACATACTCTGACTGCTCAACAAGGTTCATTCAGTTATGTACTGTCTGGGACCTCTCACCAAATTAGAGCTTTGTGCATGGGTTATTGTTTTGTGCAAGTCCAGCCAGCCTCCATGGCAGCTCACAGACAGAGCCTGGGACTTATTCAGGCCCTTCCAAAAATGATAACTGTATACCCCAACCAGTAAATTCAGATTTTCTCCATCATGAATTGGTCCATGTAACAGAAATCAAGCATGGAGACATGAAGTCAGAGAAATAATTCATATTCAGTCTGGGAAAACATTTGCAAAGATTTAAGAAATGCTAACCTGCTAGAAGAAATCTGTCACTGGGGATTGGCCTGAGAGTTCACATCTGCATACCATTTCCAATTTACACATTCTCCTTCTTGCAGCAGTACAAGAATGTGAATTCTTAGCCTCCTGATTTAGCTGTCATGTCTGACACATTTTTCCCTGCCACTTTTACAGGATTCATGTATTGCTCTGGAACCAAGGGCCAAATTATACCCTTTTCTAAGGTAACTTAGATATGATCCATTATCAAAGCAACAGAAAAGCCATGATACACATCTGTAAAATTTTACACCAGAATTTATTATTTTATGTATTTGAAAAGAAGTATGAAATCTAAGAGGGTTACCTTATCATTTAATTTAAAGGTCTTTTGTCCATATTAGTTTATAGGTGTAAATAAAATAAAAAGAGATATTATAATGCTTGAACAGATTATTTACACATTCTCAATTTTTTTCCAAAATAATTAATCTTGTGGAATTGAATTTAAGTATGTTGGCTGAAGATCATACCAATTCGCATATATTCAGATTTGCTTTGGTATTAGCTTTTTTCAGATCTTCAGCATCTATTGTTATATTCTAAGGCTTTACCAATTAAAGACCAATTACACACTAAAAGTTTTACAGTTATAGGTTTGCTGTGTTTTCACTAGGCATTACCACATTGATAATATTCATAGGGTTTCTCTTCAGTATGTATTTTTATATACTTGAAGATGACCGGGCTGTGCAAAGGCTTTACCACACTGTATAAATTCATAGGGTTTCTCTCCAGTATGTGTTCTTTCATGCGATTGAAGAGTACTCTTATGAGCAAAGGCTTTACCACACCAATTACACTCATAGGGTTTCTCTCCAGTATGTGTTCTTTCATGCCTTTGAAGATGACTGTGTAGAAAAAAGGCTTTCTTACACTGATTACATTCATAGGCTTTTTCTCCCATATGTGTTCTTTCATGACTTTGAAGCGTACTGTGATAAGCAAAGGCTTTCCCACATTGCTTACATTTATAGGGTTTCTCTCCAGTATGTGTTCTTTGATGCCCTTGAAGATTATTGTGACGAGCAAAGGCTTTCCCACACTGATTACATTCATAGGATTTCTCTCCAGTATGTGTTATTTCATGCCTTTGAAGAGTACTATGATAAGCAAAAGCTTTACCACACTGATTACATTCATATGGTTTCTCTCCAGTATGTGTTCTTTCATGCAATTTGAGAGCACTGTGATAAGCAAAGGCTTTACCACATTGATTACATCCATAATGTTTTTTAACAGTATGTGTTGTTTCATGCTTTTTAAGATGACTGTCTTGTGCAAAGGCTTTACCATATTGTTTGTATTCATAGGGTTGCTCTACAGTATGTGTTCTTTCATGCCTTGGAGGATGATTGTGATTTACAAAGGCTTCACCACACTGAGTATGTTCAGATGATTTCTCTGTAGAATGACTTCTTTCATGCCTGCAAGGATAATTGAAACATTTAGTAGCTTTGCCACATTCATTACATTGTAGAGATTTTATATATGCATGGATTAATTTTACAATTGTGTGTGAATAGAAAGAGTTATGTTATCTTAAGGTTTTAACATGCTGTTTACACTCAGATTGTTCCACTTCATTAAGGATGGCTTTGCATATTTGAGCATGCCTGTGATAGTAAAATACTTTACTACCTGGCTCATATTTATGGCATCATTTATCTAAGAGATTTTTTACATATTTGAAGAGAACTGGGAGAATTTGGACATTTACCTCACTTATTCCATTGATAAATTTTCCTATACTGTGAGTCATGCTACATGTTCAAATTAACCAGGACAAACAGAAGCATTTACACAGGCCTAGTACTCATAGATCTTTTCTGTGGTGTGTTTATTGATCTGTTCCACATTAATCTGGAAAACCAATTGTTTCTAAATTTGAATCTCATTCAAAAAGTTTACTCAACATGGGGCTACTACATGTCTTGTAATTGTTCTGAGATTGAGAGATGTACATTACTCGTTTCCTTATCCTTATGTTCATATGCCTGGTATCCAAAGTGATATATGATATATCTATAAAAGAAAGAATAATGAGAAGCTTTCCACATTTTATTTATGGTTGGACTTTCTTTCCCCCATCAACATGTGATATAGGAATTAATGTTTCTCTAAAACAACCTCCACTTAATTCTTGACACTAACTACGTATCTAATTAAAGTTAACAAAGACAGATAACTTTTTGAGTAACAATGCTTTTACTATGTACTATTTGCTTATCAAAAGTTTGTGTACATATTCTTATAATACATTCAGTGTGTATACATTTCGTAATTTGAGTAGTATGAAACTAAGTGGACAGTCACTTGTACAGCATAGCTCTGATGAAGCTATTATTCAAATGAAGATTTCTGTTAAGGCATTGATTCCTTGTCTTCTATCTTGAAAGCATGACTTATAAACACAATTCATTTACCTACCATTGAGGTATATGTGTTTATGAGCATGTTATAATCATCAATGCATTTTAATCTGTGATTATTTACAATGTTTCACTTCCTTAAAACTTCCAGATAAGTTAAATATATCCAGAGGCCCATTTGTATCAGCTTACACAAGAAAATTACCTTCCATGTTTTTGAGAACTTTGACAATGTTCTTCAACTTCAAGATCTTCCCAGTTGTAGCCTAAAATATCAAACAAGGAAATGTATGAAATATTACAGGAAACTGAAAAGTTTACATTGCTATCTTCAGTGATCCTTAGAACCAAGCCTGTTTTATTTACCTCATTCTGCCTCATTCTCAATCAGAATTACTGAAGAGCATTAATAACCAAGAAACTGTTGTCCCCTTATTTAAAATGTGAAGGAAAATTTACAGTATTACCTATAGCAGTGAGGTTCATATAGGTCTCCAGCATCACATCTTTGTAGAGATTCCTCTGTTCCAGATCCAACAATGCCCATTCTTCATGAGTGATGTCAATATGCACATCATTATATGTCACTGTATTCTAAAATATGCAATATATAAATATGCCATCCACATGTATAAAATAAAAAATATGATGCAATATATTAAATGTGTGCTTATTTGGCAATACAGTCATACAATTCTGGTGATTGTTACATGCATTCTGAAACTCAGATATTTCAATAAAATCATCAAGTTACTTTACAAAGAAACTGAAAAGGAGGTTTACTTCTATTATTTCTAATGCTTTGAACAGGATATCACCTTGCCAGAGAAATGGCTGTTAACATACATAGAGAGACAAGCAAACACTTCAACAGTACTGAGCACACATCAGAGATATTGTGTGAACAGTTAATTACAAAGAAGATTTGTAAGCTGAGTGTAAAGGTTCATGCCTTTAATCTGAGAAATTAGAAGTTAGAGGCAGGTATATGTGCTTCTGAGTTAAAAGTTAGCCTATTCTATGCAATCAGTTATAGGACAGAAAGAAGTAAATATTAAGAACCCATCTGCACTGAAAATTTCCATTAAAAAAACAAAAAGTTGCCGGGCGGTGGTGGCACACGCCTTTAATCCCAGCACTCGGGAGGCAGAGCCAGGCGGATCTCTGTGAGTTCGAGGCCAGCCTGGACTACCAAGTGAGTTCCAGGAAAGGCGCAAAGCTACACAGAGAAACCCTGTCTCGAAAAACCAAAAAAAAAAAAAAAAAAAAAAGTTAAGATGGATTCAGAGATTTTTTTTTACTGAAGTTCCTACAAAGAGTTCAGCATTTACTCCAGTTCTGTATTCATCTTCCAGAAACGTGAATTGCTCCAATTTATACCGTATTTTAATGACTCTTACTAAAAGAAACTGCATTGAAGCAGATACAAATAGAAAGAAAATAACATTATCAGTATCAATGACGATCATAAATAATCAACACAGGGAAGGAGAGTTGGCTCAGAATTTAAAGATCTTTTAGTGGTCTTGAACATAAATGGGCTCAGTTGTCAGTACTTATATGGGGGAATCACACAACTGTTCGTTATTCCAAGCTTGTGGGTTCTAAGACTCTCTTTGGACTACTGTTAGGACAGGTGTACATGTGGTGTATATCCATGTATATAGACAAAATAATCATATTCATTTAAAAAAACATCAAAAAAATACAACAAGCAAGAAATATGTCACACACTTACAATCTAATGGCTCAGAAAGCCCAGAAACTACATCCTAGAGGAGAATAGTATCTTCTGCTGAATTTCAAAATTGAAACTGGGTGTAAACCTCTGCAAAACAACACATGCTTGACATGTACAAAAACATATACTCTAGGACCATCACCCAATAATATATATATATTAAAAACCTGGAATGTTAAACGACCTTTAATCTCAGCATGTTGGAGCAAGAGTCAGGTGAATCTCTGAGTTGGAGGCTAACCTGGTTTACAGAGCTACTTTTAGGAGAGTCAGGTCTATTCAGCAAAAGCTTTTCTTCAGAAGCAAAAATAGAACAACAAAATTAAAAAATTCAGGCAAGCAAAATGTCTTAGCATTGAATACCAATTCCATCAATTGTATTTTATGTGATTTAATGATACTATCTATACTGGTCATGAAGTCATGGCAGCACAAGAAAAAAGCTGACTGATTCATTTCAACCACAAAATAGTAGAAACATAGGAAAGGAAATGGGTTGAGGCTATAGAAACACATATCAAAACCCCCAATGTGCTGTGGGATGTTCTGTATGGCAAATGTGTTGCTGATTAGTCAATAAATAAAATACTGATTGGCCATTGGCTAGGCAGGAAGTGTAGGCGGGACAAGGAGGAGAATAAAGCTGGGAAGTGGAAGGCTGAGTCAGAGAGACACTGCCAGCGCCATGATGACAAGCCACATGTGAAGATGCCGGTAAGCCACGAGCCATGTGGCAAGGCATAGATTAATGGAAATGGATTAATTTAAGCTGTAAGAACAGTTAGCAAGAAGCCTGCCACGGCCATACAGTTTGTAACCAATATATAAGTCTCTGTGTTTACTTGGTCAGGTCTGACGGCTGTGGGACTGGCAGGTGAGAGAGATTTGTCCTGACTGTGGGCCAGTCAGGAAAGCTCAAGCTACACCAATGAGATATTTTATCCAGTGAGGTTGGAGAAGCGACCCAAAGAAAGTAACCAAGGAGAGACACATGTTCAAATTCCTCATCCTATCTGGGAGCTTTTGATTCAGTTGACTAGATTCTCACCTAGGGCACTATAGGCTCAAGGGTCACCCATGAAGAAAATGCATTTAGTCACTTCAATGATTCTCATAGTCTGCAACAACTCCTACACTGTTGAAATGTCCAAAGTCTCTTTTGACACTCAAGACAAATCCTTGACTGTGGCATCTTCTAAAATCATTAAACAATTTAAATATTTCCAGCATGTGAATGGCACAGAAAACCCATTACCATCCCAAAGGAGAGGAAGTAAGACACAGTGAGGAAAGATTGGACCAAAGGAAGACTGAAACCCAGCAGGGCAACCATTGAATCTGGTAGCTCTATGTCAGAGACATGAGGCTTCATTTTCAAAGGACTTAGATGGCTCTCTCTCCACAACTTCATATACATTTCTCTCTAGTTACTTGCACTGCATATATGCACCTAGCTCTCTATGTAAGATGTTTCATAGCTTAAGTATCTCAACATCTTATGGTCTCAAAATACAACTCAGGCTTCATCCTCATAGTATCATGCAATGAAGTTAGACAGTCTGCTCACTGGAGCTCTTACCATACCAAACACAGATGCCTACCAAAGAGCTGACCTGAAAATTCAGACTAAAAATGTATAATCTTAAATTTTACATCATTCTGGTCTACAAAACGAGTTCAACATCAATCATTCCCCTAAATTTGGTTACTAAGTTGTGATGGCCTCTGCCATGCTTGGACCAGAGATGCAGCAGTCTTTGAATAAACTTGTTTCCTGAGAATGGCAATCAATTTACATAATCACTCCATTAACTGAGGGCATATAAGGATGGATTCTTACCCTTGGGGTACCTATCTAGGCTTCTGATGTAGAGTAAGTGCCTTCTTTTAAATGGTGACATTCTCCCTGAACATTCCTGACTTTGTTCAGCATTTGACTTCCTTCTGGAAATTCATAGTGCTGTTTTTCTTTACAACCCATAGACTTTTCATTTATTTATATCCACTTCTTGATTTTTTTTTTTTTTTTTTTTTTTTTTTTTTTTGGTTTTTCGAGACAGGGTTTCTCTGTGTAGCTTTGCGCCTTTCCTGGAACTCACTTGGTAGTCCAGGCTGGCCTCGAACTCACAGAGATCCACCTGGCTCTGCCTCCCGAGTGCTGGGATTAAAGGCGTGCGCCACCACCGCCCGGCAACTTCTTGATTTTTTAATGCAGTACTGAATGAGTCATAAGTAATAGCTATCTAAGAAAGTCAATATTCCATCTAAAAAAACAGCCCTATTATAATTTTTTTAATTCTGACTTAGTCAATTTCTTGAGGGCATGGGAAAATAAGAAAAGTTAAAGTCCAAAATATCACATATACTTCCTCTATTTTAATTCCCACTGAAATTCTTTGACCTTAGCCTCCACTGTTTGCAATACTTTAACAGTATTTTATTCTCAGCACTACAAGAATAACCAATTAAGCTCTATATGCAGCTTTCGATGTCTTTTGCCATCCAAATTTTGAAATGTTCAACATTCCCCCAAAAGTCACCATTCCCACCACCTTTAAACCACAAAATCACTTTTGGTTTACCACATTCTGTTATAACTTGCTTTTTTCTTTCTCTGATTTAATTCTCTACACAAAAGCACCTCTGCTGTGGGATGGTCTGTATATCAAATATGTTGCTGATTGGTCAATAAATAAATCACTGATTGGTCAGTGGCCAGGCAGGAAGTATAGGCGGGACAAGGAGGAGAAAAAACTAGGAAGTGGAAGGCTGAGTGAGGGAGACACTGCCAGCCGCCATGATGACAAGCCGCATGTGAAGATGCCGGTAAGCCACGAGCCATGTGGCAAGGTATAGATTAATGGAAATGGATCAATTTAAGCTGTAAGAACAGTTAGCAAGAAGCCTGCCATGGCCACACAGTTTGTAACCAATATAAGTCTCTGTGTTTACTTGGTCGGGTCTGAGTGACTGTGGGACTGGCGGGTGATAGAGATTTTTCCTGACTGTTGGCCAGGCAGGAAAACTCTAGCTACAAATGGCATCCAATGTGTTGGCAAGAGTTTCCAGCTAAAAACTGAGAAAAAAGATTCTAAAACAGAGCTAAAAACAGCTTCCTAATTGTCTCTCTCAAAAGAGCGGCAGCTGCTGGTTTGAGCTACTGGAGGGTTCCTGGCTGCACGCTCGATCTGCAGTATGGGGGGAATGAGGCCTCTGCAAGTGGCACATTAAGCTACATGGTGGATTTAGCCTTTGCTAGTACAAAACAAAAAAAGAGGTGTCTGGGCTACATGCTGCTTGGATAAATGCATAGACCCACGATAGCTCCCAGAACTGGTGGTAAACTACCACCGCCATGTTGGGAAGCTGAGATGGGCAGACCCAGCAGCCACAGCTGCTTCAGCTTAAAGCAATAGATTCACAATAAGACAGATTCAGATGTAATAGTTTAAAATGTGTGTAAAATATACGTAGGCTTGAAAGAGACAAAAAAGGTGATATATAGAGTTATAGAAACAAATACATAGTTTTAAAAAATAAAGTCTTTAAAGAGACAGTAAAATTAATATAAAAAATAAGCCACGTGAAGATGCATATTACACAGAGAATCTGGATTGTGTTGTCTTTGGGATATTTAACTGCAGAAAAACATTTGATTGTAAAAGCTGTTGAGTTATGCCAAAATGTATATTTTAAAGGTACCTTGACTTCAAAATTTGGATATAAGGATATGTTGCTTTGGAAAGGAGATTCTGCTTTTGTTCCCACAGACAGCCAGAGGCTATGGATTTGTTCCAGATGAAGATACATCAGGTTTGACCAGCCAAGACCCCCTGAAAGGTGACACCAAGGCCCAGATG